AAAAAAAACCAAGGGAAAAACATACATCAGAACTTCAAAACAATTAAGTCGATATGAGAAGTCTCCGACCACAACATACAGAAGATTAACACAACCGTACTTGTCTTTTTTCAACTTACGGAAAGGTACAGTACCAGCCAAACAAAGGATAATGTATCTAGCAGAATTACACTTCAATAAAGTGACCACCCACGAGAAGAACAAAAAGAACATAAGCTTGTGATGGCCTAAATCTAAGCAACTGATACAATCTCTTAAATCTTAACCCTGAACGTGATCACATCATCCGGCTTGTGAGGTCCGACGTGTGTGAACATGCATGAAGAACCAACGACAATACCACTATCAATCACAAACTTACGAGCTCCACGGTATTGCAACAATTTCTTGCCATTTCCATGAATTACATCCAGTTTATAAACCTTCTTATCGAAGATGAGGACCGCCGTGGTGTAGTTGTCATAGTTATCCTCGATGTGGTCTCTCCAAAACGGCATTGGAATTGGCTGCTTGTTTTCATTACAACTTATTGGATGAATAATATATATGAAATAGTATTTATTTGAATACATAAAAACTTAAGCTGAAGTGTGAAGCGAGCCCGCTCAATGTGAGATTTTTTTATGTCCAAACAAAAGCGGTATATTGGCGGTCTCTCTAACGCTGTTTTGTCCGTCACCATAACGTCGAAATGGAACTTGCTCTTTCGTTTGAAAAACATAATGTTATGTAGTTCAATGTACTCTTCTTGAACGTAAGTATCCCATCCATCAACCAAGGTCGGGCCATTATCCACCATTTTCATCATGACTTCATACTCACGTCCTTCTCTAGTCTCGATTATACATTTCTTTGGAAGCTCAGACTCATGATATTCGCAAATTGCAGGTGGGAGAGACTAAGTAAAGTATGTTTAAAACCGTGATGAATACAATGTTATACAGAAAAACCTATTATGAATAATAATCCAACATGCTATGTTATTGAGAAAGAACCTCGTACCAGGGAGCTCATTTGTGTGTCAAGAATGATCTTAAAAAATCTTGTCCAGTCGCCAGCCATGACAGAACACCTAAGAAAAACACGATGTATTTGTCTAGAAGGCAGACAACTAATAAATAAGTTGGGAATTCAAAACAACATCTCATTCCAGTGTAGACCACATCGTGACAATATACAAGTGAATTGACAACATCTGTTATTTCCGCAATTTCAATCTTCGGTTAAAGTAGATTAACTTTACAGGATTGTCTACTTTTTTTCTCCAAACCGATGAATTTTATGTCACAACTTCAGAAGCAATAGTGTACATGCAAAAGACGCACACTGATGAACAAGCAAAATAAAATATGAACAAGCGAAATAACATATGTTACCAATAGTTTACATGCAAAAAACGCACAGTAACGAACAGCCCACATATAAATTTCCCTAAATTTATGCAAAAGATCAAATTAGGGATATTTTTTAACAAATAAATCGAAATAGAAAAGCAAAGAAGAAAAGTAAGCAAGAGTCAGATCTGACCTGAATGGAATCCGGTGAAGACGCGAGCGCCTGAGGTGAGCCTCTGGTCGTGCTAATACCGCCGTGAGAGTGAGAGACGAGAATCTAAGAGAGGTGGACGGGCTGCGTGATTTGATTACTATTAAAACCTCATTTTATTTATCAATTTCATTTTAGGGCTTAGTTAATAGTTTGGGCCTAGTCTAATAAAACTTTACATTGTATTATTAATTGGATTTATTGATGAGTAAGGGGCCAGACCAAAGGCCCAAATCAAAGGCCCAAAACCAAAAGAATCTTAAATGACGTCGAAATTGTTGACGGCGAGTTGCCTGTATTGTGTAGCCAGAACCACACGAGTCGGACACAAAAAAAGGGTCTCACCACAATTTTGACCGTTTTTCAAACATTTACAACCGAACCGAAAAACAAAAGCACACCAACTCTGTTGACTAAACTGAAGACGCAACCGAACTAAACATGTCGAGGTTTAGTAATTGATTAAGACAGGTAATTGATTAAGACGATAAAAGATGTCGAGGTTTAGTAAGCCAACATAACAAAATGACTGTTATAATGCCTTAACCAAGCAAAGATCCATGATGGGATCTACTAAACAAAATGACACATATATAAGTTTGTTGCTTACGATCAACATATAATCCAGCTAGACCCAACAAAACCAATCATGTTCAAAACGTCATATACGAGTTGTTACATATAATAGAAACTTTTTCCTCCAAATAAGCAGTTTTAAATATATGTAGCTGTAAGCCACAAAAGAAAATTACACCGCATGTTGTTCGCAAATTATTTTTGCTATCCGCAAGTGTACGGAGTAGCTATAGGTAGTGGCGAGCAAGGTCGTATTCCACAGAGATTGTAGTTAAATTAATTAAGTACTAAAATAATGACGATTCAATATTATCTAGACTAGTGAATTGAATGATGATATAAACTAAGAATTAAACTAGAACTAATCTAACTAAAAATAAAAATAAAAATAAACAAAGAAACGAAAGGTAGATTCTAGGCTAAGCGTTCCTCGGAATTAATTCATGAAATGTTTATATTCAAACAAACCTTATTTAAGTTTACCAATCGTAGAGATAATCGCTAAATTGATTTCAAACCTTTCTCTCGAACAAGTCAAATCGTAGATATTAATTGTTATCTATCTCCTCTCGGTCTCAAGATGAACAACTAACTCCCATAAGTTCCTAGGATTTTCGTTCCCTCGCAAGATTCTATCAACCTCTCGGTCTGTTTAGTCTCTTACGTTATGAATTTCCCAATTCTAGCAATCAACTATCTCCTCTCGGTCTCAAGTCAATCACAAATATGCATAAATACGGGCCCTTATATTCACACAATAAACAAAAGCACAAGAAATTGATAAACGAATGATAAACCGGAATGAATAAACAAAATCACTTCATAAAATAATCCGAGTACTTGCAAATCCTAGAATCCCTAAAAGTTTAGCTACTAAACATATTCTCAAAACTCAAAATAAATATATTCATGAGTTCAATGAAGAAGAAAAAGAGAAAAGAAAGAAGAACTATTGTCGCCGTTAGTTCTCGGATCTTCAATCTTGACTTCCTCGAATCCCTCGTGTGTTTCGTGCTTTCTCTAGGCCTCCAATGGTGTCAAAAGTCCCCAAAAACGAGTTCCTAAGGCCTCTTTTATACTGTAGGGCAAGTCTGGGTCGAAAAAGAGAAGAAATCGCACAAGAATCCTATTCCCCGCAGGTTTGGTCTACGCGTCACACGAGTCGTGTCACATGCCACACGAGTCGTGTGACTTTTCTCAACATTTCGGCAAACTCCCAGGCTCACACGACCACCCACACGACCGGGTCACACGAGTCGTGTGAGTCCACACGACTCGTGTCACTACCCACACGAGTCGTGTGGAAAAGCCGTAGCTGTGTCTCTTATTTCTTCAACCCACACGACCCGTGTCACTATCCACACGAGTCGTGTGACCTCTTCTGCACCCGTTTTCGCCGTTTTTCGTCCCGATTCCATTTCCAACGCATTTCCGGGCATATTTCCTGCAACAACAACGACAAAAAAACCTCTATCGTAGTTTAATAAATAAAACAAAATGGTGCACAATCACATGATAACCAGGGCCAAATATCACAATATATCACTGATAATGCTTGAAAATATGATGAATATCAACTCCCCCAAACTGAAACCCTTGTTCGTCCCTGAACAAAAATAAGAAAATCAGAACTCAAGCATAATGAGTGATATCAAACTAGAACAGCTTCAAGTCCCTCAATGCAACCAAGAAAAATTCAAACGATCATAATCATCATGCTTTGACTATTAACTTGTGTCTACCTTGAATCAACGAACCCTCATATGGAATATATAAGTGCCTCACTCATATGTCAGTAATATATAAAAGAGAAGGACACGCTCAAAGTCAAATTGAACACCAGTTAACTATTTGTTTACAAATCATCTAAAACTCTACTTCAAACACAATCAATAATCATGAGCTTTAAATCAGAAGGTCTTTCCAGGTTGTAATGTAGGCTATTTGGTCAAGGGTAAGGTATATATATGGGTTAAGTGGCTCAAATAAACAATCATACCATTCGAGTAAATAGACTACTCGACATACCCCACTATTCCTTCTCTAATCAACATGAAGTTTTTCTCAATCCCAAACCAAAACAATCCATACACAACTCATAATTGCTCAAATCAAATTGCAAAGGAAGTACTTGACCATTTTTCTTTTTTATTTTCGTTCGTTTTTTTTATTTTTTTTAGAGAGTTCAATTTTTCCAAACAAAATCAAACTGCATGGACAACATTCTCTAGGTTTAAACATTGGAGGTCATCCAAGTGTCCTAGAGTGGTTTCCCATTACTCATTACACGTCAAATTAAATCAACTAGTAAGAGGAGTAGAATCCCAACAGTTCGACTTGCGAGCTCTCTTTATTATCATTATTTTTCTTTTCTTCTTCTTTTTTTTCTTTCCTCATTTTTTTTTCGGTCAAACACAATAAATGCAACTCAATCATACCTCATTTCATACCCAATCATCCAATAAATAACTTCGTTATCCCCATGCATCCCAAATATCAGTCAACTCTCAAAATAAATAAGATAAACCGGTTGACAAGAAAAAGGCTTAAGGCTCAAACGGGCTACTAGTGGAAAATATTTTTAAGGACATAGAAAAAGGCCAAACGAGCTAAATTCAAGAACCGCCTAAATCATTTTTAAAGCTCAAAATCATCAATGCATTTTTTCAAGCGTAGAATCAATGCAAATTCTAATAACTCGAGTATTCAATTGACACTCACAGACAAAGAATAAAGGCTCAAATCTCTCTAGGCTCAATATATCGCTAATTCAAGGCTCACAAGCATTTTCATCTAGACATGACTTTTACAATCCCATCACAATTCCTCAATCATATCAAATAACCATTCACTATTCAAGTTTTATCCATCATTCAGCCAAAGCAAAAGAAATACACAAGGAATCGACTCAAGCATATTCTTATTATATCCTACTCAAGCAAGTAAACGTGCATCCTAAAAAATAAAATAGCATAAAAAAATCATAAAAAAAATTAAAACTAATGCAAGCAACTATATGATATGCAATAAAGCGATAAAAACTCAAGATATACAACATCTCTTTCCCCCAAACTTATTCTTTGGAAAAGAATTAAGTTTGAAGAAAATAAGCGGCATATCTCAAGCAACTAACCGATAAGTCGAGCGAGCTCCACCGTAAGCAATCCTTGCACCCATGAGCACGATCATCTCCTCCATGTTTCGCTCGAACACTCGATCACCACCATTTTTTATTTTTTTATTTTTTCACTTTTTTTTTTCTTTTTCCAGATTTTTTTTTAAAAAAATAATAATAATAATAATAATAATAGTAAATAAAAAAAACGAAAATAAAATAAAAAAAATAAAAATAAAAGCCATAAACGATGGGTTGCCTCCCAACAAGCGCTTAATTTAACGTCTTTAGCTAGACGTCTTTCGAGCTCTCAATAAGGGTCATTCCCGTTCATTCCAATCTCCTCCTTGATCTTCTCATGGCGTCGGCTACCGTCTTTTGGCTCTTGAATCTTCCATCCCCGAGCAAGTGTAAAAATTCGGTATTCATCATAAGCTCGAAATGTGATCTCACCAAGCTCCATGTCAATGAGTACCCGTCCGGTGGCTAGGAATGGTCTTCCTAAAATCAACAGTGTATCACCGTTATCCTTCATGTCTACCACCACAAAATCTGTCGGAAACTTAATTCCATCGACCGTCAACCAAACATCCTCTACAATTCCCATGGGACGAACTTGGGATTTATCCGCCATTTGAAGAGTGATCATAGTCGGTTGAAGCTTCTCCAATCTCAACTTCTCGAAAACAGAGAGTGGCATCAAGTTGACGCCCGCCCCTAAGTCGCATAGCCCTTTCCCGGTATATGATTCTCCAACTCCACAATCGATATAAAATCCACCGGGATCTTCGCACTTTATAGGACGGTCTCTTTGGAGTAGTGAACTACTCTCGTCCTTGAGTGTAACCACCTCATGAGCCTCAATCGGGCTCTCCATCTCCTCGTCTGAATTAGCCACAACCATCTCGACCATTGGTTCCTTTTCTTCTTGCTCATGTTCCTCGTTCATCTCAATCAGAACGTCATCTCTAGTCTCTTGGGCATCCTCGGCTTTGCAATCCTCTGGGGTGATCTCCGTATGACTCGAAAATTGGCCCTCTAGCTGTTGACTCTCGACCATCGCGATCATTTGCCCCAAGTGCTGCCCAATCGACTTCATTCGATTCTCCATCGAAGCAACCCGCGCCTCATTTTTAGCTATCAACTTGTCCATGTCACTCATGACTGTTTCCGTGGTACTCATGAATGAGGCGAACGCTACTTCGAGTGCCGACTTCTTCGGCTCATTGATGACCCCATTGGTCACCGAAAATTCCATTGGCGGTTGTAGAGCATTGTATGGATCGGTATACGAGAAATTAAGATAGTTCTGGTTGCCCGAATAGTACGTGTTACCTCCTTGATATCCCCAGAAATTGTCATAAATCCGGTCTTGCAAATAATTCACGTCCTGGACGGGTTCATACATTGACACCGCATTCACCCCGACATTCTCGTTCTTCACCCTTTGCAAGCCCTTAAGAACCAATGTGGCTATTTGAGCCGACAACTCCGAAACTTGGTCTGTATTGGTAGTCGTCGACACTCTATTAAACATCGTATGCTCCACCGGCCATTGGTAGCTATTAAACGCCATCTCGTAAGAAAGAAAGAAAAATAAGAAAATATCAGAAAAGAGAAAATAAAATAAAATAAAAAAATAATAATAAAAAAAAATGTCTAAACTAATATCTATTCGTCTTCTTCTAATATTAATCAATTCAACAAACAATCCCCGGCAACGGCGCCAAAAACTTGTTCGCTAATTATTTTTGCTATCCGCAAGTGTACGAAGTAGCTATAGGTAGTGGCGAGCAAGGTCGTATTCCACAGAGATTGTAGTTAAACTAATTAAGTACTAAAATAATGACGATTCAATATTATCTAGACTAGTGAATTGAATGATGATATAAACTAAGAATTAAACTAGAACTAATCTAACTAAAAATAAAAATAAAAATAAACAAAGAAACGAAAGGTAGATTCTAGGCTAAGCGTTCCTCGGAATTAATTCATGAAACGTTTATATTCAAACAAACCTTATTTAAGTTTACCAATCGTAGAGATAATCGCTAAATTGATTTCAAACCTTTCTCTCGAACAAGTCAAATCGTAGATATTAATTGTTATCTATCTCCTCTCGGTCTCAAGATGAACAACTAACTCCCATAAGTTCCTAGGATTTTCGTTCCCTCGCAAGATTCTATCAACCTCTCGGTCTGTTTAGTCTCTTACGTTATGAATTTCCCAATTCTAGCAATCAACTATCTCCTCTCGGTCTCAAGTCAATCACAAATATGCATAAATACGGGCCCTTATATTCACACAATAAACAAAAGCACAAGAAATTGATAAACGAATGATAAACCGGAATGAATAAACAAAATCACTTCATAAAATAATCCGAGTACTCGCAAATCCTAGAATCCCTAAAAGTTTAGCTACTAAACATATTCTCAAAACTCAAAATAAATATATTCATGAGTTCAATGAAGAAGAAAAAGAGAAAAGAAAGAAGAACTATTGTCGCCGTTAGTTCCCGGATCTTCAATCTTGACTTCCTCGAATCCCTCGTGTGTTTCGTGCTTTCTCTAGGCCTCCAATGGTGTCAAAAGTCCCAAAAACGAGTTCCTAAGGCCTCTTTTATACTGTAGGGCTATTCTGGGTCGAAAAAGGGAAGAAATCGCACAAGAATCCTATTCCCCGCAGGTCTGGTCTGCGCGTCACACGAGTCGTGTCACATGCCACACGAGTCGTGTGACTTTTCTCAACGTTTCGGCGAACTTTCAGACTCACACGACTGGTCACACGACCGGGTCACACGAGTCGTGTGAGGCCACACGACCCGTGTGAAAAAGCCGCAGCTGCACTTGTTATTCTCTCAACCCACACGACCCGTGTCACTGCCCACACGAGTCGTGTGACCTCTTCTGCACCCGTTTTCACCGTTTTTCGTCCCGATTCCATTTCCAACGCATTTCCGGGCATATTTCTTACAAAACTAACGACAAAAACACCTCTATCATAGATTAATAAATAACACAAAATGGTGCACAATCACACGATAACCATGACCAACTATCACAATATATCACTCATAATGCATGAAAATATGATGAATATCACATGTGAAGCGGAATTGTAGCCCCTAAATATTACCCGCTAGTTTCATTCGTGCAAATTCTGCTTTTGCATCGTCCGGTAAGCTGAAGAATAGTTCCAAGTCCTCAGTATTTCTGACAAGCAACTTACACACAACCAACTTCTCTTGCATATTTAAGCCCAGGATTTTCCCCACTTCAGAATACACCTCTTTTCGAGCAGTCGAGACATCATATTCGTAAC